CAAAATGCTGTATATAATGATATACCAGGAATGGGTGGTGAGGGCAACCGTTTGCGGGTAAATGAATGGTTGTATTATAACGAACCCCGAACTGGGTTTGGACAACAATACGCCGGCGGTCGGGCACCCGATCACAAAGGAAAGACATTGGGCGGCAGTACAGCGCACAATGCAATGGTATTTAATCGGGGTAATAGTCGTGGTTATGACGAGTGGGCCAATACGTACGGCGCCGTCGGTTGGAGTTATAGGGATGTGTTGCCGGTGTTCAGGGAATGGGAGAACAATACGGATCCAGAAGTAAATCCCGAATATCACGGAACTCGAGGACCGATTCAGATATCGTCGCCACAAGTTATAAGTCCTTTGATTTACTATTTTAAGGATGCTTTGAATGAATTGGGATTTAAAGACACTGATATCAATGGACCGAAACAATTGGGAACTATGTTTACACAATCATTTATAACTGCTCAGGGCTTTAGGGCGGATACGGGTAACGCATTTGTAGACCCGAACCCATATCCAGATAACCTGCATATAGTGTGCAAAGCATTCGTCACTAAAATACTGTTCAATGGGTTGACAGCCATTGGCGTCGAGTTTATAGTGAATGACATCTCGTATACGGTTTACGCCAATAAAGAAGTCATTGTTTCCGGCGGTAAATATAATCACAATTTAAACAGAATATTAAATACTTATTATTTTTATATAAATTATATCGACTGTGAGGTGCTATTAATAGTCCACAACTTCTAATGCTATCGGGTTTGGGACCCAAAAGACATCTGCAAAGTCTGGGAATACGTGTAGTACTGGATCTACCGGTTGGTGACAATTACCAGAATCAGCCGACAATCACTGTCGCTGTAACCATAAAACCCGAGTACATAAACCTAACGGACAGAGTGGCCGCCTTAACCACTGAACAGCTGAGTCTACTATATTTCAACCAATCGGGTCCATTGGCCAGTTCCGTGTCGTGTGCCCTACACTACAACACCCCTAATAATGTGGACAAAGAGTGGCCAAACGGCATACTCTATGCCTCGACGGCTAACGACACGTTTATTATGTATACAAATTTAGGCAGATTTAAAAGCACCGGCACTTTGCGCCTACAGTCCACCAGTCCTTACGTACCCCCAGTAATAGATGCCAATTGGTTCGCACATCCCGATGATAGGCAAGATGTGTTGGATGCCACCATGCTCATATTTTATATACTCGAGCGCTCGAGCTTTGCTCAATACTTACAAATAACTTCCGACTTGTTTGGGGCCATCGGTTGTCCCGTTTGTCCCGACAAACAGTATTTGTATGAATGTGTGGACGGATTGAAGTGTTTTGTGAGTTACTATACGGAGTCGGGTTACCATCCCGGGGGAGGTTGTCGTATGGGATCCACTCATAGACCGGACGTTGTGGTCGACCCCCAGTTGAGGGTTAAGGGTATTAAAAACCTTCGGGTTTGCGATTCATCGGTATTCCCAGTGCTTCCCAACTCTAACACCGCTTCGGCCTCTATTATGGTTGGATATAAATGTGCCAAATATATTGTAAATCACTATAATTTATAATTAAATTAACATATTTAAGTAATGTATAATTGCAATAAATAAGCAATTTTATAATTACTTATTTATAACTATAAAATTAATAAATCGTTACAATTATGTCATAAAAATATACATTTGTGATAGAAATTTAGTATTTAAGCGAAATAAATAGTTATAATTTATAAAGCAATTATCCGGAATAACAATCTAGAAATGAACATGTACAGTATACAGTAGTATTAAGTAACCATATTAAATTAAATGCGTGTAGAAATGGCCGCTGTTTTTAATACTATCACATTTACTGCGGGCCCTCATCAACAGCTGCCAACTGTCCGACTCATCCAAAGCCATGCAAATCGTGTCGGAGTCCGGGCGCTCGTGTGTCACACACTCGGCCAGTGCTTTGGCAAAGTTGTCCACAATCTTGTCTTTTAACACCACAATCACGTACTGTTCCCGAGGGTCTGAACGCACCGCACAGGTGGACAGATAGGGGGCGAGAGTTCATTAAAATCCCAACTAATAAAATAATTACAAACCTTGAGACTTGACGTCAAATTTGAAACCATTGGGCGATCGGTCGCCGACACACAGGTCCTCCTGGAGCCGGACGTTGGCCTCGTTGTTGAGCCGCACGAACAGCGCCGGAAGCGATGGACTCAAACAGTAATACAATTCTTGCATATCTCGGAAATGCAAGTCAATGGCCAACCGGAACCTTATGGTCGAATTCGAGCAGTTCTTAAGCACTCGTTTCAGTTTGAATCCCTTTGCGGTCACATCCATACCAGTGATTGTGGCCACAAATGTGCCAAACATTACGTACTCGACCAGCACTGCGTGCGGAAAGCGGATCATCTCCGGGGTTGTTGTGCTTTGACCGCATTGTCCGCACAGTCGTCCGATTAACGGATATGAGTACACGTGATGGCAGTGTCGGCACGCGTATAGCGGACCGATCGGTTGACTCGGTGTGGCGGTTGTGCGCGGCCGCAGTCCGGGTCTATTGGGACACTGGTCTTCGTGCCGATGAACGGCGCTTAGAGCTATGGCCGTAGCCGTACACACGTCGCCGTCAAACCAGCGACACTTGAGCCGTACATCTCGGAGCCAGTTGTGTGTCTCGACGGCCAGACCAATGGGTG